TAATTAATAGTTAAAGAAAATTGTTAATTAACATATTGTATATTATAATTAACGGTAAATAGTAGCTTTGTGTGAGTATTATATATTTGCTTGTATTAAATAATATGTGTGCAAATTTAGCATATTTTATAAGAGTATTAAAATATACTTTAAAATGCATGTGTAGGTTTATATTATATATGTATATGTGTACAATAATTTGTATTCATAATGAGGAAAAACTACGCAATTTCTTAAAATTTGAAAATTTTGAAAATTCAGTGCAAAAAATTGGTAATTTTTTTTTGTTTTTCGAAACTCGATCCTTGAAAAATATGCAGGCTGAAAAGTTCGTACAGTTTCTATGACAGTGTGTCACTAGCATTGTTTCATGGTTAGAACTAGCCTTCAAAAATATTTTTACAGATGCATGTTGTAGTATTTGGAAAATAATTTCGTGTGTGAAAAAAAATTAGCTGATACTAAAAAGTGGTTACAGGTGAATCGAGCTCTGTGTCATGTGAAGCAATCATTTGTAAGTAGTTTGTTAAATTCCGTAGAAAACAGATGAAAATAATAAAAATAACCCCAATATTATTTTGAAGGATCCTAAAAAGGTTTTTAATTGATGTTGATCGGTCAGTTTGTATGGCTATATAGCTGCTTAAGATTCTATCGTTGAAATTATCCATGCCAAATTTCGTGAAGATATCTCGAATAAAAAAATTTCAATCAATCAGTTTGTATGACAACTATATGCTATAGTGCACTGATTTGAAGAATTTGTTTGAAAATTGTACGCCGATGAACAAATTGTCTCAATCGGGTTTCAAAAAGCAACCATATTCTTCGGGACCTATACTGAAAGGAAATCAAAATTTTACTATACCCTCTCCTTCAAATTCCTTAAAAAATCTTCATATATTACCCCTACATATTTCTGCAAAGAAACAGAGATATTAACAATCAAAGGATAGATATTCACATATGGCAGTTAAGTTGAACGATATTGGGTTTTCGGATGAGTACGGTCCCATATGTAGAGACTAATGCTAAGATCAGTCTCATATCTCTCTTAATAGTTCAATTATACATTACAAAGTAATAATAATTAGGTTTAAACTGACTTTTTAAGGATTTTTTGGATTAGATACGTTTTGATTTAACTTTTTTCCAGCAATGCTACTCTTAACATATCAGGCGTTATGCATTAATGTGGATTTATATTGGTCAAATGGTTTGTATGGTAAATTGTACGTCTATAGAGATAATAGTTATATAATCTATATCACACTTTTAGTAATTTCAAATAACACGGTTAAAGACAATATGGTGTATCCGATTTTTACGCTCCATCTGATATGGTTCTAGGTCTCATCCTAGTTCTTCAAACAAATATTCTCTTTTCAAAGGTTATAAGTTAAAGACAGCTTTATATATGAAAATGAAAAAGCATGTTATTAAGTTTCAAGTTTGTTAAAATAATTGGCATTATAAAAATTCTTGACTTAATCTTCAAGGAAACGTAAGAAGAGTTAAGGAAACGATAAATAACGCTAACTCAAACAATTTATTTCAACAAGTCTAATTTAAGTCGAGTTTCCGCTTATCTTTTCCGTTAGTGGAATTTGTTCATATTGCAGGCCACGAAACTGAGACGTCTAAAGCGCTCTCCACATCCGCTTTTAAGCCATTATTTATACGCCTATGCTATACATAGGTATGAGTGCATGTTCTATAACGAGTATGTATGTTTAGTCACATGTTTATTGCAGACGCGTAAGGAGGCTGACATTCAAGTACTTACAGCAGAAATGGCAAAATCTTACAACTTAGTGGTTGTATAGTGAGAAAATAGACCAGTAGTGCGTGAAACATATATCGGATATACATATGACTAAAAAGAATTGAGCTAGTTTTACTAAAAAGAAAATACTGTAATTTAGAATTCAAATATAAATGCAAGAAGGTTTAATGGTTCAAGGGTTGATGTAGAGTCTTTTGCAAGAAAAGGTATTGATCGAAGAGGGACTTATAAAAGTTTTAGAGGGTTATGTATATTATTTTTAACCGAATAGTTAGAATTTGATTTTAAGTAAATGTTTAATTTAAGGTCGGTTTTTCAAAGGTATTGATCTTGGTAGGATGTATCTATGAGCTTAAAAAGATTATTGTAGGTTGGCTTCCGCTTCCACTTCCGCTTCTGTAAATTTAAAATTTTTACAATTCTTATTTGTTTTTGAATATGAACTAGTCCTATGTTCTTGAAATTCTGCTAGTCTCAATCCGAAACTCTACTGCGGATTAGCAACTCATATAATATACATACATAAAGTGCTTATGTAGGTTTTATATATACGAACGCGCACGGAAAATCACCCAAGCGCAGCATCCGCAATTGTTTCATTTGTTGCTTTGTGCAACATTTCATTGCACGATTGCAATTGCGTACATGTGTGTTAGCAAATTCCTCAGCACTTTGCTTGAAAATTTTACATCTTTGTTTTCTCAAGCACACATTGAACGCATAACTATGTATATTAAGGGTGTTCTAAGTTGATTTTTATAAATGGCGCCTAAAGTTTCAATTTTGCCTTAAAAAAAAGATACAACGTAAAAACCTGTATTTTTAATTTAGACCCCGCCTGAATCATTTTGCTTATCCCATATTTTTCTATGCAATTTTTGATCTTATAGAAGAAAATATTAAATATTTGGAAAAAGTAATCATTTAGGACGGATTTAAATGAAAATAAAGAGCTAGTTTACTTGGCTATTTTTGGCAAAAGCTGAAACTTCAGGAAATAACGACACCTAATATATATGACTATATGCTTGTGAAAATCATTCATCCGTGCAAGAATTTGTGCGAGTTTAAGACTGTGCGCGAAATACGTAGACTTATCTCTTAAGCTTCCGTTTACATTATTTAAGCGCTTAAAATTTTATATAATAGCTTTATATTAAAAGCCACTAGCGCTTACTTTTATGCCAAATAAATTTAATATTCGCTGAAACTTTATTTTCTTAAATTTGTGTTTTATATTATTAACGTTATGCTTCGACGAGATTTAATGCAGATTTATCAAGTGAAATCTTCAGAGGCTATAGCTTTAATATGAATTGACACAACAACAATTTGAATGAAAAAACCAGAATTTGATTATGGTACTAATAGAATAATAAAATTGAGTGAAATGTCATGTAAAATATGCAAATACTAAAGTTCAAATAAAAAGCCTACGACGCCACAATGATACGTGACTCATAATAATTGTGGAAGAAATTGATAATATACATATACTAGTTCTGAAAGCAAACAAGTATAACTTGAACAAAGAGCTGTGCGTGTAGTAACATTTACTCACGTTGTTGAAATCTGTACAAAATCTGCCCGGATAATTTAAATATCAATGACCAAAACCTGCACCTTCTTGAGACATGACAACTAAGCAGAATGGGGTCGTCTAAGCAGAGCATTACTATACACTTCTTGTATTATGGCTTTCGCTTACGTTTACATAATTCAAATTTGAAAAGGATAAACCGATGTTATAATCCATAGTAGCTTTCGTCTGGAGCATACATCCGTCGACTGTTTGTGTAGAAATTTGTAGCATATTTCATTTTTTCAGCTGTTTGAATCTCGAGATTTTTGCTATTGTTTCAAGATATCATTAAGGCTCTGGAACTCTCCAACAGCTAGGTTATTCATATTGAAATGTTGCCAGAACTTAGTGGTCGAAAAAAGAGAATGTTGATTTTTTGCTTAAATTTTCTCTCTATTGAAGAAATATATTTTGCTTTCCGTACTTCTCTTTAGTGTCATAAAATTTTGAAGCAGAGTAAGATAATATGTTATAACTTTGTTGAGAATCTTGGTCAAATACAGTTATTACTAATGCCACAATAAAAACAATATTAGTGGTAATTTGTCTATATATAAGGTATAAGTATATATTAAGATTTTGGACTTTTGATAAGATTTATTTGCGGGCAAATATTGAAATTATTGTTAAAAGTATATTTCAGTTCTTATTAGAATGAGATACTATTGAATCACGATTTTATACCTTGAAAGGGTATATAAACTTTGCCACCATGTTTGTAACACCACAAGAAACGTCGAAGCTGTTGTCTGCCTGTCTGTATATATTTACCTAGTCCTCAGTTTCTGAGTTATCGATGAAATTTTGCACACGTTGGTTTCTTCCCAAGAAGCTGCTCATTCTCGAAATGGCGATATGGACCACTATAGCATACGCTGCCAATACAACTAAACGATTGAAATCAAGTTGTTGAAACGAATCTTTTGATTTTGTATATATACTTGTAGCTATAAACCCAGCTGCGGTCAACGAAGTTAGCTTTTTCTGTTTTTTCTATAATTTAGGATTTCACTCAGAATTTGGGTTCGAAATGTGATGGAGTCAGACAACGAGAAACGCGAACGTGTAGGTGATGACAGTGGCTGAGAGTAGATAGCGTCTAATGTATTCAAACATATATAGCAATATTGAAATTACTCCAACTACACTATTTCAAGGTTAAGCTCTGTAAGAATATATTGTAGCCACATAACTTGTAATTAACATTAGACATAACATTAGACATTATATACATTCATATTTATTTGCTTGCTCACATTCTCAATCGGTGTGTGAAAATCAGAAACATAGCAAAACTCAAATTATCATTTTATTTTTTTTATTGGTGTTCTTGAAAAATGTGAAAGTTTGTCATTGTTATTTTGTGAGTGAAAACAGAAATTTAATGTACGTCAGATTTGTTTATTTATTATTTATTTCTAGCCAGACCAATTTTGACAAATTGCATTCGGAATACGAGTGAAAACAAAATAACAAAGAACCCTAAATGTCATTTCAATGCAACTGAGGCGCTGCATATGGACTGGTGAGTTTGTTAAGTTAGAAATTCGGTATATGAAAGGTCTTTATTCGTTTCACTTCGTTGCAGTACTTCTGGTGGTGATTTTGCACATTACAAGTACAACTCCAGTACCGTTTCGTAGTGACGATTATTTTTATTTGGAACCCGACATGGATGATGATATGGACTATATGCAGAGTGCCAATTTAGCCGACGACGACTATCAACCAAACGAATCTGAATCGGACTATCTTATGTTTCCCCGCTCAGCGGAGACGACGACAGAATGTGGTGTGTGTAGAGAAGAAATGTTGAACCAATTACTGCTGTATTTTACCAACGTTTTATATCTATTTTAGAAACCGAACCGCCCAAACATGTAGAAGCACACACGCCCAGCACGCATAGTGTAGTGGCAACTACCTGTGTAGCTATTATACCGGGACAATCGGCTAAAAATGAAATGCCCGCAACCGAAAAGCCACAAACAGCACAGCCAAGTATAACGATGACATCTCAAACGGCTACAACGTTACCACCGCCAACAACATCAGCGCCACCAACATCAGCACCACCTGCAGTAACCACCACTGTTGCTCCACAAGCCACGACAACTCATGCGACGCATACGACGACATGTACGCCAGAAGTCGAGACAACAACATGCATACCGGAGGAAGACTCAGCACAAAAGCAAGGCGCCATGCCCTATCCATATATGCGTCCAGTAGAGGCGACCACATGTATGTCGGTGAAGAGTTTAGCTGGTGGCGCTGGTAACGGTTCCTATGACGGCATACTAATGCCGCCATCTGCGGTTTTTCCACCTGTTTCTCTGACAGAGCAGGAGGGTAAAACTCGCGCGCTGCACTCACTCGTGCAACATCTGTATGTGGCGCAGGCGCGCGTCCAACTCGAAGCCATTGAAATCAAGAAGGCACAAGCCGTCGCTAATTCGGCGCAACAACAGTTGGAAGAGGCCGCTAACCATGTGCGCAGCGTGACAGCGGCGTTGCAGAATGCCCAGCAGGAGGTTGCTTCGGCGGCAATACGCGCCCAAACGGCGCAACTACAGTTAGCCGCGCACGATCAACTGCTCTTTGCAGCGCGTCAAGATGTGGATGCGCTCTCCTCGCAAATGGTCGGTTTGCAGGCGGCGGAAGGTATTTCTGTGCCGACCGTGAAATTCGATATCGGTAGCTTATTGGATAAGTTAAAACAACCGTTGGCAGCTGCGGAGCGACCGACAGCAGTGCCGCCGGTGTTATCAATGCAAGAGCAGGCACCAGCCGAGCCGGCGCCACTTTATGTTGACTATGATTACGATTAAGTTTGAAATATGCCTTTTACTCCCTCTATGTATATCTATACATCGATATCTATCTATTATATCTTTAGTCCCTCATATCTATATGTACGCCTGTATATTTTTTTAAACTGTATTTCTGAAACGATTTGTGTTGTTTTGTGCACTTCACTTCATAAAAGAAGAGTGTTTCTTGTATTTTCGATTATTTTATTTAATTTACATGTCCACTCACATTCAATAACCACAATAAATGACTATTTATGATATATAGGTGGACCTTTTGGCATCTTTGTTTTATCGTTGTTTTTGTTCTTTGTGTGACACCCTTCCATGAGAACCAGCTTTAGATATTAAGATACAAATCTGCTTAAAAACTGGCTGGAGTTGGTTATGTATTGTTACATTTCGGAAAGCTGTGCTGTGATTTGGTGTCCAACAGTGTATAATTATCGACCCGAGCCGCAGTTATGAAGTGAAAATGAGTTTTGTATTCTAGATTTTTAAACTATTATTATATGTATAATAAGACTATTGTCGTTGTATGTTCCCCCAAAAATAATTTTTAACACCGACTCATGAAACGATATAGCAGTTTATTTTCGATGCGTGGATAATAATTATTTTGATGTAATGTTTTCTCTGCTCTGAGTAACTCTTCATTATGCTTCTAAATATTACCGGACGGAGAGAATGATCCTAATTATGTAATTGCTGAGTTTGCTGACGATCAATGCGGTCAAATACTGTCCCTACTAAAGTCACCACCGGAAAACTGACCAATTCTGATAATATTTGATTAGGACTGACAAAAAACAACAATATTTTAACGTATTTTAATACAAATATAGATTGAGGTCTTCAAAATAGGCACCTCCACAAGCATGCCAACGCTTAACCCAATATTTTAACATTATTGTACCGACGATTGTAGGTATGCGAAATAACGAGCTGTCTACGAACTCAATAGATCGCGGGAGTCATAAATTGCTTGATTACTCTCGATAACAAGCGAAACCGTGAGATCACTTGAGAGCAACATTCGTCACTGTTTTAACGCAACCCACGGAAGTTTTTGCATCCTTTCGTGATTGTCGACGATACATGTATCCACTGCTAGAGAGCAGAGACCAAGGAACAATTTAAACAGTGGATATCACTTGGCGAACTTGCTCGTAAAAAACTGTTCTCTTGGACCAAAAATGCGATGGCCACCGTTTAGTGGGATTTTTGTAATCTACTTGGTTTACCCGGAGACGAGCGAAACGATTACAGTGCTCTGCTATGTCGATTTATTGAGAATATTCGACGTCGAGTTGCAGAAAAGACGGTCACATTTGACGAAGAAAAAAGTAATGTTTCAACATGACAACGCACCGGTTTACACCTTAGCTTAAGGAGGTAACCGCCACATCGGATGTGTATGTATCAGTTGCTTGTTACTAAATAAAATTTGGAAATCTGTAACTCTTATAAACACTATTGCGATAACTTTCCCAATAAAGAATGAATTTAAACTTATTTATCTCTCTTAACTCTTAAGGGACTTAATTTCAACTGGAATGCGCTGAAGGTAGTTATTCTTCGTATGAAATCCATATTCTATTTATCAGTTTATGTATACCGATTACTTTATGACTATGTCTTTGAATTTATGTCTTCGAATTTAAACAAAATAGATTAATGGAACATGAACCATTTTACCATATAACAGTATTTTCTCCGATAGGAACAGAATAGAAATGAATTGAGGCTTGCACTGTGACCTAAGGTAATATATATTGTGCCAGTGCTGAATTCCCGAAATTCTGCTGGGAACTATTGAGGCGATGTGATACCTATTCAAATATATAGTGCCAAGGGCCTTTAATTTCTTGCGATTAAATCTCGGTAAAATAAACTGAGCCTAAAAGTAGGCAGCATGCAAGTTATTGTTGTGTTTTTTTTTTTTCAAAAAACGAACAGAAATCAATAAGAAAATCGAAAAGAATTAAAGAAATAGTAGTTTTTAGTCCAATGAGATGATCCTGTATATTATGTTGTACATTCTTATTTATTAGTAATAATGAGGGTTAAGCACCATAATTTTTTTCTACTTTTTTTTGGACTTTATTTGATTTTTCAAGTTAAGAATAAGTTATTTATTAATTATTATGATTAAAATAATTTGTTTTCTTTTATTTAGTCAGAATGAAAAAATGCTTGATAGTATTTATGTTCAAAAACTTTATAAATAAAATATTTACTTCTTAAATTACTTCAAATGCAAAACTTTACATAGAAAATGCTAAAGGTTTTTGTTTATTTTAAATTAATTAGTTTACGCCCAATTTGAGTGTTATGAAATTTATAATTATGAAATAGCTGCGTTTTCATTCTTGCTGTTGCAAATCACGATTTTCGTAAGAACATGAGCATTTATATAGCTAAAAGAATGCTGCAGCCACTAAAGAGTCAAGACAAATTTATCAAAACCCATTCACTGTTAAAAAACGGTATATGAAAGAATAAAAATTAAGTACGCAAATTAATAAGTGAAATGTTTGATAATCTTTTTTGTACCTCCTTACTCTTTCCCCGTAAGGTCTAGTATGGGTTAAGAAATGTTATGTTATGTTATAGTTGTTTGCAGTATTTGTAAATTGTAGTTGTAGTTGTATTGTATTTGTAATTAAAGTGGTAATTAATATTTTTTTTTTTGTAGAGAAGTGTTTTATATAGATGTAGCGATGTATTTGTAATTTATATATAATTAAAAACATCAATAAAATGAAACATATTATTACAGAGTTTACTAAATATCTACAAAAACATCTAATTATTTGGATTAATTGATAAAATGTACATATGTATAATTGGTACTATAAAAAGCATATTAAAAGAAAAATTTATTTAAAAAAAAAAATAAATTTATGAAATCGTGTATAGTTAATATAAGAGAAATTAAATGATCAAGAAAAGGAATATAACTTCATAGTGGGGATGTTCTACGTAGAAACCTTTAACACTGAGCATATTCCTCAGGGAAACATTGAAGAAATTTTTGAGACTTATGAGAGAGAGTAATGACTTCTGCTCTCTAACTACCTAACCGGGCTGGATACCATGTGAAACAGAGCTCTTGCGGAGATATGAAATTGTGTTATGGAATAATTTTTTATGTTATCAAATTTGGAACTTTATTCTACACGAGGTTCTTGTAGAGGTACAAAAAAATACAGATATATTAAACTTTTTTTTTCAATGTTCTGACATTATTGGACAGTCGACTGTAAAATTGCGAAATAGCTGAGATTGCAGGCATCTCATAGCGCTCTTGGGTCGAGTGTATGAACTGAAAGGAATAATGTTCAGAACGCCTTTAAGGTGTATTCGGGACATATTGGTTAATTTTGCTCTGTACTTAAAGAGGTTGTCGTCGAGGCCTGATTGCCTGATGGCTTTAAAAAAAAGTTTTCTTTCAGGTCATAATATGGATCGAACTCTGGTAAAGCACATCTATAACAACAATACGATGGCATTGAACTTGAAAGAACTCAAGGAATGGAAAGCTCTCAAAGAAAGAGCGCCGTAATTTTTTTGATACAAATTATAAGTTATTAATTGATACGATAAATGACATCACATTACGTGTCATTCAACAACTTAACAAAAGGGTACTACAATTAAAATACCATTAAAAACACATAATAAAAGTTCAATGGTAGCTGACACGAGGCCGAGTTTGCATGCCAGCTAATCATGTGATTATCACGCGAACGAATAAAGATACAATTGAAGCGTAGCCGAAGACATCAGGCAAGTGCAAAATTCAATGGGCGTGCACGTACACCCATTTACACATTCAAAATGCATTAAAAAGTTTCGCATGTCAACCAATTGTTGCATGAGAGGAGAGCGGAAAACTTAACTAGCATGCCACGATTGCAGCGAATGCAGTGTGGAGGTTCAGGCTAGACACTGCGTGTATCAAAACTTTTTTCAGAGAACAGATCAAATGAGTGAAAATTTGTTGTAAAATTATAATTATAATATAATATAATTGGCAAATAATAAGGTTAAATTATTAATATTATGTTATAAATAAATATGCCACAGTGATTATATAAATTTGTATGAGTTAAATTTTATGACACATAATTAATTGTAATTTAGTTAAAAACAATTCAATAAACACAGTGATTAAGTGATTGAAACATATTCATTAATTCAACTTGAAACAAATACAATTACTAAAACGATTATAAAGTACCAATAAAGGACGTGGGCGGATGTTAGAAACTATATGTGACTACAAATTTTAGCTTGTTAGTCTATATTAATGTGTATTGTTGAAGGCAATATCTCAATAAACGGGTGCACATTTAATATAAGTTCCTCTAATAGTCTCGATCTTATTGAATAACTATAGATGAGTTAAAGCACATTTTATATTTGAAACGAATTTTTACATTTTTTTATAGTTAGTTCATTGAATATCCGAACAAATGTTTTGATGACTTTTGGCTTCGTCAGATCAGTACACACCGTCTGTGTGCTAAATGGAACCAGACATTGGGTGTAGTAAGCTTAACTTTACATGAAACCGTCATTTTTTTTTAATGGACCTTGCTAGTCTAATCACATTAAGAAGTTGGTCTGTCAAATAATCATTATATAGGTAAGTAGATAGAGAGGAATCTGACGACACTCCTAGGCCTTAAGGAGTCCAAATGTAAAATCACCGAAACTAAAATCCTCTCACTTAATTTTTTCCTCTCTGAATCACCCGCTGCTCTTGAAGAAGTTAATCAATTTAAGTTAACCAAACAAAGTCTTAAATGTTGAATTTCCGAGACACGCGCGATCGATAGTTGCGATTCTTTTACTATGCAAGCCGCGCATTCACATTGACGATCCCAAGATGGTAATGTCGAAGGTGAGTATCGAAGCTAAAACAATCCACAAAACAAAATCCATCTGTGAGGGAGAATGCAGCGTCTGTTCCACATGATAGTAGCGGTTATAGTGGGCGGGAAGGGACTCGCGTTTTAAACGTATATTTATATGGCAGACAGATCTGAGAAAGATCGCGGACACCAGCACGACGATGCCACTTGTATGGAATTCAAAAGAAAGCAGAATTGGTGCCCGTCTCAAAAAAATTTGGAGAAGGATTGGCGAAAAAACAACAGCCTTGAACCGTCTGACATCGAAACAGCTTTTTGCAGTCTTATGTGCCAGTGAGAAGTAATTAAGAATTTTCCTTGTAATAGAACCATAGATCTAAAACTATATCTGGTCGTTATAGATTATTTCTGGTACGTTGAGAACTAAGATAATCATTAATTAATTGATCAGGAGATCACAGCTTACTGAATAAAAAAGAACATCCATTCACGTTAGTTTGAAACACATTTGGACTATTTATAATGACGACATTGAGGACACAGTTGTTATCATTGTAAATGTAAACGATTACCGGAGGACTGAATTTCTAACATTTGGCCTAGTCTAAGTGATTGCGCCTTTGAGAGTAGGTGGACTTTATATGTTTATGGAATTTTTATAAAGGAATCATAACTTTACTAAAGTAAAGATGTCGCGAAAGACTTATTTGAAAATAAGTAAAGTGGTTTTAGACTTTTGGTATTACTTCCATTCAATCCATCTAATTGCGGAGAAGCAAATGCTTTCTCTCATCTATGATTGTCTTATATCAAATTTAATTTACTTTTATGTTCTCTTCACAAGTTTATCGAGATAAAGACCTCCAACCAATATGAATACCTTAATTTATGTATGTGTTTGTGCGCATAAGTGCTTGTTTATNGCCGGCTACAACATTGGCACCGCCATTCGCAGTGACTACACCGACAACATTGGTGCTAGCTGGCGTTGTGGTACTCAACGGTTTGGCGACGCTTATAAGCGTGGCGGTCGCTGTTGTCAGCAGCGCAGCATCTGCTTCCTGTTGCGCTGCCAGTTCCAGCTTTTCGCGTTGTTCGCGCAACAGCTGCTGCTGCAATTGACGCTGCTGTTGTTCACGCTTGTAGCTCTCCATGGCCGTCATGGATGTTAGGTGGGCATTCGGCGTATCGACATAACTATATGGAGGAACTGATTCCTGATCAGGTACAGATGGACGAAACTATGCATGAGCGCAGTCGCCGAATTTCGAAAACAAAAAATACATTAATAGTTGGTGGGTTAGAGCATTGTCTATATACATAGATATATATATATATATATTTAGATAATATACATGTGTAGTACATAGATGAATAGAACACATTCAGTACTAGCTCTATACTTATTATGCTATGCTTGAACGAAATGTTAGTTAGTCCATGTAAAAGATACGAAAAAGTTAGTTTGGGGGGAAAAAACAAACAAACACACATAATTTACTCACAACAATTGCTCTCGCCATATACATATACATACAGACATACATACGCACGTACACCAACATATATGTAAATACCGTATATATCGCGTATACATATGTATGTATGAAATTGTACATATATGTATGTGTGTAGAGTATTCAGACGCGCGTCTGTTCAAACTTACGTGATGCGTCATATTCGAATTCCTCATATTGGCCATATGATCATAGTTGTGGTAACAGCCGGCGCCGGTAGTGGCCGGATTGCGACCGCCGCCGCTGGTCGACTCGCCATCTTCGGTGCTATTCCCATCGGTCTGCGAGAGATTGTGCCCTGTGGAGGACCGTCGTAGCGCGTGGGTTAAACGATGCCAATTGTTTATTGATCTATTGCGACTTTCGCGCTTTTCTAATTTTTTGTTTTTGTATTTTTGCATGTTTTCATATATACGAGTACATATATATGTATAGGTATATGTATATAAATAAATTTGCGAAATTATGCATGAACGTGTGTATCGGTGCGTGAGTGTGCGTGCAAATATGTTGCGCATGCGTGCAGTCATTCGTTTGAGGCATTTTTGAGATTAAACATTTTTTTTTTTTTAATTTAAAAAAATTTATTTATGTTATATATTTTTATTTTTTTTTTATTTTTAAATTTTATTTATTATTATTTTTTAATATATTTTTTTATGTTTTCAATTTTATTTTTATTTTATATTTATTATTTAAAAATATTTTTTAGTTTTAAAAAATATTATTTTTTGTTTTTTATTTTTATTTTTTTTTTATTGTTTTTAATATATTTTTTAATATGATTTTTTATTATTTAGATTTTTTAATTTTTTTTATTTATTTTTATATTTTCAAATTTTTTAGTTATTTTGATGTTTTACATAGTGTTTAATTTTTTATTTTTTTTATTTTATATTTATTATTAAATATTATTTTTTCGTGCACAAGTGTGATAATGAGTGATGTTGTTTTTGGTGAGCGACCATAAATATATAACGATATTTGTTTTTGCGTGCATTAAGTCAAGCGCATGTGAAATTGTATGCCATGATCGAGTTGAATTTATACAGAGATGTATTTTCATAAAATTTTTATTCAATTTGTTGTTGTTTTATTTATTTTTGATGATTTTGTTGATGATTGTATGCATGTTGGTTGATTGTTTGATTTCGTTGCAATAATTAATTAAATATATATATTTTTTTTGTTGTCGTTTGCGGCACACAATCAGCCATGAATGCCATTTAGCAAATTCCAGTTAGAAAATTTTTTGGTTTCCAAATTCATTTAATTTATTATTTTCCGTTTTGCATTGTTACAAGCGCCATCATTAAAATTTTCAATTTCAAATTTGTTCATTCAATTTCAGCATTTGTTCGGAAACGAGAAGAAAGTATTGAAGAGAATGGTTCCAGTTAATTATTTTTTCATAAGAGCGTTTTTGTGAGCGTCTCTACATAGTATTGAGACAGTGCAACAACTTACAACAACATTGAGCGTTGATGAGACGACATAAAATACTGGCTATAGTACTTATTATTTGATTACTTTTATAGTAGTACAACAGTAGTACGAAAATAGCATATATATTATATATAGACACAGATACTTAGATATATATTTAATTTGTGCGTAGCTTGTGTTAATTATACATATATATATATATGAACATTTAATATTTCTTTTGGTAAAAATATATATTTTTTCGCCGCCTTTTTGTTAGTAGTATTGAGACAAAAAACGCTTAGAAGTTCGAAATAAATTATTTTCTTAATCACACATTTTATTTAGCTCATTTACTATTTATATTTAATACCAAGAATTAATAAAAAAAATTATTTATAAACTCTCCATTTTAGGTGTTGACACATATTACGATAAATACAACGCCAAATAACGCAAAAACGACGTAACGCAAAAATTTTCAGAAATTATTATGCTTATACTAGTAAGTTTCGACCAAGCGTTGCTGTGGTTTAATTGGAAAAATTATGAATTTTCGAGTTTATTTTCTGTTTATATAATTTTTGAATTTCTAACATACTTGTATGACGCTGCTTAGAAATATATTTTTATATATTTATGATTTGTTTAAATTTTAACATAATGAAGTTATAAATTATCCTATCTTTTAGTTGGATTAAACAGGCACAAGTGTGCTAAATTTTACTCAAATCGGGTTCAGTGGATTAACGTTAACCCGGAGAAAAGTGACCGTAATTTTTATACAATATTTCATGAACAATGAAGGTGTATATAATATATTCGTAAAGTAAGAAAGTAGTATCAACCTAACAGTAACAAAAATGTTAAATGAAAAATTGATAATTTTCGTTTTCGAGATTACACAACTCGCGAAATGATAGACCATTAAAACAAAGTAAAATTAATTTATAAACATATAAAATGACACAATTCAAAATTATTTTATCTACAGTCAAACCAAATTTATATGAATAAAACTTAACATGTCTTTTCTATGGCAGATAACTATTTTCTGTTAGTACCCACTTACCATCTGATCAAATTTGACTGGGACTGGTTATTTAAATTGCACGTCAAGACCAAATCGATACAAAATTTCCTGCGTTGGTGCAACCTATTTTGCGTGTGAAGTTTTGAGCTCCATAAGTCAATTAGTGTGTTTTGGCAGCTTGTTTGTTTACGATGCGAAAGTTCTCTGTGCGATTTTTAACATTATAAAAAAACAATTGACAAAAACGAAAAGTTAAGAAGCAATGCTTGTGGATCTCATTATCTCTTATAGATCAACAACATTTTGGTTAATAATACGGTATGAATCGTGTCAATGCTAGACTCGATCAAAGATCTGAATCTTTAGCAAAAGCAACGCAAGATATCGCAAAATAGATGCTTGAAACGTAGCTAAGAACCCTGCATCAATGCATTCATTATGTTGATGAGATATAGCTTTATAAACATGACGTCGAAACTGTCAAGAAACACGTCAAAGTCGGTCAAAATCAAGTTGTAGTTCACAACGAATCTCGACAAATAAACGATTAATAGAAATATACTTGGCCGTTTGGCGGTTTAACGTAAAGCAAGAAGAGTTTATTTGAAGACGATGCTAAAGATTTGATAAAATGTTTGAAAATGTTTGTTTTTTTGTGTTTTTTGGTCAGTCCACGTTAAATTTGATCAGATGGTAGACATTACCTTTGATTTTACTACTTTTGGAAATTTGCAATTCTTGAGTTATGTAATTGTTGCATTTAGTCTGCCTTATGTTGACATCGAAAATTTATATTTATAAATTAGGATAATAGCTTTTAATTTCAATTACTACAAATATCTAATATTGTAATATGGCCTATAAGTATCTAGAAACTAACTACATAATAAGTTAGTACAAATCTACGGAGATGTTTTATGCTAATAATACTTAGCAATCGCCATGCTTAAACACTGTTTTATTTCTACAGTGAATTTAGTCACCACTACTACTGCTTAATACAATTGTTTAATTTTTATATTTACGTTAATGGATTTTATAAATACGGTAAACTCAGTTGTGCGTTAATTATGTGTATTTCGAAGTGCAAATTTACTCAAGGAAAACAATGGTTTCGATTACGATAGTGGAATCTTTTAACAGACAAACAGTTTTATAAAGGGTAATGAGGTGGTTTATAAAATGTTGCCTCCACTATGAATATATATACTAATTTGCGGCTTGCACACTTCCAGATTTCAAATGTAATCCTAACGTGCGAGAATTTTTCACAATAAAATAATAATTTACTCATAACTGCTTGAAACTAAATAACAACCGACTGTTTGCGTTGTCAAAACTTCTTTCAGTAACGAGGGTTATACGACAACCGAATATGCAAAGAGGGCAATTCTGAATCGTATACCATAAAAGATTATGGTCAGCACAAGCGGTTGATGAAGTTCGTAAAATAACAAAAAGAGATAAATCAATAGTTATCGTATCGAATCTTACAAGATTATTTTTGATCGATATACGGAGCAATTTGGTGGACCATTGATGTATAATTTTGAGTTGTTTCCTCATATAAAAACAATCTATGTAGTTAACAATTTCCGACGACATAGGAAACAGACGATGTCTTACAAATGTAATATGTTTCGAGATTTTAATAGAACTCAATTTAAATAAGACTATAAGACCTATAACCTAATATTTTGTACAATTTTTATGAAAGTTAGAATTAATTTACTTATTGTAAACAAGCTCTTTAGTTACAGACTTTCTATTGCAGTAAGTTGTTAAAACTCATACAAGTCGGTAGAACAAAGTTAAATGAGATCGAAATACCTGAATATTGTATTCATAAACTAGAACTTCTACCTTAGCTTCATGGTAAATAGCGAACCGACAAACGATCATTATAGAGATACCAAATGGACAAATCGAGAGCTTATATTTACTCACGTACTTAAGTTTAACTTAAAAGTGATATGTTGACGTATAAACAATATGAATTTTGAGAAACTGCCATTTTGAAAAAAAAAAAATGAAAAAAAAAGAAACGTTAACTTCAGTTGCACCGTAGCTACAATACTCTTCACAAATATAAAAGATTCCTTACAAGAACTGGATTTCGATTGTTCTGTTTGTATGGCAGTGGTATGCTATAGTTACTCGATCTGAACAATTTCTTCGGAGATTGCATTGTTTCCTTATGCAATAACACATGCCAAATTTCGTGAAGATAGCTCGTCAAATGCAAAAGTTTCCCATACAAGCATTTGACACCGATCGTTCAGTTTGTATGACAGCTATATGCTATAGTAGCTCGATATCGGCCGTTGCTACAAATGAGCAGCTTCCTGATGAGAAAGGAACGAGTGCGGAATTTCAGATCGATATATTATTATTAGTATATATACAGACGGATGGACAGGCGAACGGACGGACGGAAAGACATCGCTAAATTAACTCAGCTCGTCATGCTGATCATTTATATACGAGTTTATACTTTATAGGGCCTCCGACGTTTCTTTTTGGGTGTTACAAATAACGTGGCCAACTTAATATACCCTGTTCAGTATATGAATATTCAGAAGTGTTTTAGGTTTGGAAACATTATGAGAGCTTAAATTGCGGAATTGGAAAATTTCGCCAAATATTTTTCTCAAATAATATTGATAAGCTTAACATATCGAAGTTTTCCACATTTTTTTGTGAATTGTCGGATACAATATGAAACGAAAGTATATGCTTTTGGTCGTTGGTACAACAGATGAGATAAATTTCGTAACACATGAAACTTGACTTTTTTTCTATACAAATTTTAACCAAAGGTAAGGATACTTTTCTTTGAAATGTTCATCATTTTTTAAATTGCTTAGATATCGAAAATTGATATTTTTATGAAATTTTATGAATATTGTTCCATTGTTGATTCTAGTAGATACTTTGAATGCTATTGATTTAATTGATTCATTTTAGATGCATTCATTATATAAGCTCTAGATAGTCTATCCCAAATATTACAAATTTAAATGATCGAAATTGCATGAATGGATTCGAAAATGAATATTGAAGATGATATATGTCAAATGAAAATATATATCTATGGAGAAAATGCCATGGATGACAGTT